TCAGAGGAGGTACTGCGGATATTTATTTATTTATTTTTTTCATTACAAGGCTACAATTCTGGACCAATCAGTGAGGATGGAACTCATTTTGGTAGCAATGGTTTGCGAGTTAAGCATATGTTCTGTTTCAAGATTCACTGATTATTGATATTTGGTCAGCTTCATATAGTCAGCCACAAGTTCAACAAAAAAAGGTGTCCAGTAAACGGGAATCTCTACAGTAGTAATGGTTTATGAGTAGCTTCTTATCTGATATGTGGTAATGGTTCTGATATTAAGTTTACTTTGTTAAAAGTTTAAGTACACGGTGTGGCTGGAAATCACGACACAGAAATAAAATTCAACAAGATTATCTTGAAAAAAAAAAAGATATTTGACGACTAGGTGCTCTCCGATGAATTCAGAATTTTCTTTAAAATTTATAAATTAATTAAACCAAACTTCAGCTTCTAAGACTTCAAGGAACTGAGATGAAAAACTTTCGTTTAAATTGGTTGCTTACTCGACAATCTATTTGGCGAGCGAGAAATAATACGAAACACCTAAGCGAGAGATAGATAGATAGATAGATAGATAGATAGAGAGAGAGAGAGAGAGAGAGAGAGAGGTGGGGGGAGAGAAACCGTTTACAGAACAATAATTTGGTTCTACTAAACTTCTATTTTTATGTTATTCATTTGACTGTAATATTTGTTATTTTGTATTGTATTTTCTCTCACTCTCATCATTTTTGTTCTCTCTTGTGCTTCGCCTATGATTTTTTCAATGTTAATTTTTATCTCCTCCTCCAGCCACAATCCTTTCCAATGAATATTCTGATTCCCGCTCCTCCATTTCTTCTAATAATGGGAATCCTTGTCAATAAATCAATAAATCATATTGACTTGTTAGTTTTTTAACTTTCGCTTACCTTATGTCTACTTATCGATTTTTTTCTTTCATTCGAACAACTGTAAAGATTGTGTTCGATTCTTTGCATCGACCAGGAGAGGCAACTTGTAAGTCTGTCTTCTTTGCTGGCACTTTTACAATATTTCCTTGTTTGTTGTCGTCTGTTGTTATTGCTGCAGACACAATGTCTTGAATCGAATAACAGAACAACATTAGTTAAAATGCTGATTAATCCTGCCAGCCTCTCTATGTCCACATTGTCGCTACCCATTTTTTTTTCTCTTGCTATTCTGTTACTGGGAAGAAGTTCCTATAATGCTTACGCTTCATCAGGCAAAAATTTTTACACTTCGATCCATAGAATATCTTGTCATTTGCCGAACGAGAATTTCTAACATTTGTAAGATCGCTGAGACATTTAGCGTTAAGTTCGTTTCGTTTTGGAAATGTGTAAGTGGCTTGAAAAGAGAAATAGGTATTTAATTTCGTACAAATAAGGGAAAGCATGAACCGATGTCACTTCTTCGCTAGCGCCATTAGCTATAGGTTAAATGGTGGTGGGGGGTCAGGCTGCGCTTTCTCACCCCCAGGAGGAAGACAACTGAATTCAAAATCGTATGTTGGCGAAGCGCATACGAGGCAACCATTGGACAGATTATGGAGTTTACAGTTATCTACGGTGTGGAATCTCAATGATAGTGACTGAAGTCGAATAAAGGAAGGACGTCTCGTTTTTGAGCAGATACATTGTAACTGATATCTTTTGCTTATTTCTGCTATTTTAATTTTGAATATCACATAATTTTGAATATCACATAATTTTTTTTTAGTGTGACTGGGTACAGAGAAATTTCATCAAATTAAATGCGTAAGTTGTGACTATGGACGTATTTTACAGACAAATAATAGAATACACGTACACACACAAACACACACGCATACACACACACTCACTCACACACACACAAACACACACACACACATACACACACACACACATATATATATATATATATATGAATAAAAAGAGACAAGAGGGAAAACTATTCTTAATTTTATTCTTAGTTTAAATCTGTCTTAGGATCATTTAAATGTTTATACTTTTCTTATGATATTATAAATTGAGTTTTTGACTTAATCAAACTATCAATAAATATCATTTTCATTATTTACGTACATTCGGATTAATATCGTCATGTTTGTTGTTATCACAATACTTCGGCCTTTATGTTCATCGGACTTCTTCAGTTTTCTGTTTAAAATTTCGAACTGAAACCTTTATTTAATCTACGGGTGTAGTTTATTCTCGTTCGGTAACTCATGTCTTGGGTGTCTCTCTAGGGATAACTCGTATCATTCTTTGAGTTCTACTCATTTATTGCCCAGTCCAGTAATTGAACTCGGAATTATTTAGAGTTTCGATGCTTTGTTTTATATCATAGTTTGAAGAAAGCAGAGAATTTGTCATCGAATCAGAAGCAACAATGACAACACACAACCCGATGGCTTAAAATCTTATCGAACATTCTTTGAGAATCGTCTGTACTTTCCAATATAATTATTTGAGACTATTCTGAATAGTTGATTGATGGCAGCCATTCTAGCAACTGTTTTCAATATTTTCTTAAAGGTCACTCTTATAAACCAACTGTCTGTAATCTTCCATTAAGAACGGAAATTATATTACAAGATGTAAAGTTTCTAAGTTCTTCAGTAAATATCCCATTATCAGAATCTTGGTGACTGGTAAGTTTTCCATATAAAAATATTCTAACCTTTTCTTAAAAGAGCTTTTAGTAGCATCAGCAAAATAGGTTCTCCGTGTTCTTCAACCTCGACGCAATATATAACCAGTTGAAAACATTTCCTTCACGTTTCTACTGTGACCTATAACAAGACACGAATGCCATTGGTTATGTCTGAAGTCAATAAGTGACGGATGTAAACTTAAAGCACTTCTGAAATATTTACTGTCTAACATGAAGAATCTCCTAATATTACTGCAGCCGTGTCGTTTACACAGATGATTCGACATTTGACCTTTCTAAACACAGGGTATAATTTCCTCTTTAAACATGGCTACCGTCGGGTATAATCATCTGAAAAAAAGATCGATGATTTTTGGGAAGAAGCATGAGGATCAGTTGGTTAACATGACTTTTGCCAGTACACAGCTTATGACACGGAAAGTTTCATGGCAACAGGCAAGTTAGTAATTACTTTTAATTTCGAAGAAAGCTTAAAAGAATCTTTAATGAATTCCTCAGCTTAATAATATGTGTGTTTTATGAATTTATTCTTATCGATTGTTACTTTCATCTATTTAAGTATGGAACCAGTCAGAAAATTCACAATGTCCTTCATTAAGTACATTTTTCGAATTAATAACTCAGTCATTCCACAAACAAAGTTCATTATTATTATTTTCATTTCCTTTTTATGCTTAATCATTAAAACTCTGAGCAGGTCCATCTTTTTGGAGTGCGTCACCAACCAAATTTGTATGAAGAATTTCTTTCAGTTGTCCATGTATTTCAACAGTCGATTAATAAAAACTAATTACCTCTTGTGTCAGAAACGGGAGTGGCTAATTCGACTGGAATTAATTGAACCAAATACAGATATAACTCACTTTTCGAAAATTATGCTTTACATATTTTAGCTTTTACGAACGATTTACATAAGTACGGATTTTTCCGCTATCCGAAACCAAGTCGCCATTGCTTTTAATTCATATAGGAATTTTGTGAGCGTTCTCAGACTCACGCAGAGTTTATTCTCTGTCTACTTGCTTGGATGACGAAGGCTGATGCTCGTCTCTTGTAGCTGATGTGAAGGCATGAACTACGATAATATGATTGCTTTACCACATGAATCATCATAGCATACACATTTCTTGTAGGCAATCACAAATTCTTCAAGTCTACTTGCCCTTCGAAGATTACAGTCATTCGTTCCTATAATCATTATAAGTAAGCATTATTTTTGATTGTAGGGAATTATCAGGTAATCTTTTTTCTTTTGTAAGTCAGAGAACTCTCAAAGGTTATTTTCTGTACAAATTACCGGTAATGTTTCAATTTAAAAAAGATTTAATATGAACACTCCAAGTACAAATAGCGGTGGGGGGGGTCTGAAAGCTAAATTGTTAATAATTAAATTGAACCCCGCAAAGTGGCTCAAACTAATACTTTGCATCGCTGTTGCTACAATATTAAAAAAAAAAAAAACTCTTGATAAATTTCAAGTTTCTTAAGATCGTGTCAGAGTTTTGCTTTTATTTATTGTCGTGCTTGATTTGTTTAAATCTTTGCTAATGTGCCTGACGAGACGTGTGCAAAAAGTTTTTCAAAAAGTTAAGATGTTGGCATTAATGTTCAGGAATGTGTGTGTGTGCGTTTGTGTGTGTTGGTGTGTGTGTTCGCGCGCATGCGCACGTTCGCGTCTGCACGCACGCAAGCAACGTGACAAAATCTAAAATTCCAACAAACAAAATATTTTCTCAGAAATACAAACTCAGAATTACGTAACCTTTTTTTTCTTCCCTATTCTTCGATTCTTAAATAACTAGATGTACTAAAAGAGGCACGTACGCCAATGTTAGCTGCAGGCACATTCTCCATCATAAATAAGCAACAAGGAAATCATTTCTCCTGCAGTTAAAATATCTACAAATATGAACTTTGAATAACATAATGTCATCCACAGTTACATACGCGTGTGACCCACAACCATATACAGTTATTCATCTGAATGCGATGATTAATAAGTACGTTTGGGCAGACAACATATAAGGACGCCTACCATTGAGTTGTCTCTCATTGACTTATTGATTAATTTCTTTTTTACGTCTTATCAACGACAGGTTATTTAAATACAGAAAATATTTTTACATTAAGAGAATTTCTTTTTTGAGATAATAATGATTTACTAGTATAAGTCCTATATTAATTAACCTATAGCTGGGGTAGAAGATGTGGATTCATGCCTTTCCCAAGGGTCTTTGCGAGTAAATGAATATAACAAACCGGACTGGAATTGGAACTCGACTCTCTGATTTCCAATTCCTACCTGTTATCCATTACACTACCCGCACATCCAAACTTATTGCACCTGATATTCTCAAGTGATCACCCTTCGAGGTACTGATTAGGCTTGACATTGCTTAACTTCTATGATCGTAGGAGAACTGGTGTTTCAACGTGGTATGGCCGTAAGGTTTTCTTTCACTGATCGTTCGCAATTGTGATGAGATCGATCCACAGTTTGCTTCATTTCTGAACCAATTCTTTCTCCAGTATCTGTCTATATTTCTGAGATGAGGTATTATGTACACTATTTACATTATTCGGACTATTATCCTCATCTTTGTTGCCATATTTATTACAACGTTTCAGCCTTTCAGTATCTGTCTATATTTCTGAGGTGAGGTATTATGTACACTATTTACATTATTCGGACTATTGTCCTCATCTTTGTTGCCATATTTATTACAACGTTTCGGCCTTTCAGTATCTGTCTATATTTCTGAGGTGAGGTATTATGTACACTATTTACATTATTCGGACTATTGTCCTCATCTTTGTTGCCATATTTATTACAACGTTTCGGCCGTAGTACACTCCGGCCTTCTTCAGGTGGTTGGAATGTCGAACTGAACCCTTTATTTCGCACACTGGGGTAGACTGGACACATGGCACAGCGGATAAAGGCGTTGGTTAGATCCAGCGACAGGACCCAAATAGTGTGAGTTCAATACCCGGTTAAGTCAGTGGAGAACTTTCAGAGGGAAATTAACAGGAGATAACTGATAACTGACATCCATTAAACATCGCACGTGGAACTAGAACAGTCTGCTCCAGTGAGAATAAGGTAAGTAGTGTAAAATTCTTTCTTAAATATTTTTTGGCCGCGAAACTGAACATAGAATTCTGGGTAATTTGAGACCTTCAGACTAAAAAACACAGGGTTTCTTCATTTTATCCAATAGATTTTATTAAATTTCACTTTATTTATCAATAAATAATAATATTTATTTTCCTCTGGTTAGAATACAAAGCTCAAGAGTCGCTCAAGGTAGATGGTCACTGTTGAAATGGTAATGATGAATGAGATGTATGATGTAGATGAAAGATTAGGTGGTAGAAAGCAAAAGTTTCGAGGATAATGAAGATAGGTGACGACTGAGTCGGGTATTGAAGAATTTCAGATGCTGGTGTTCAGAAAAAACACCCACCTTTACATAGCGGGTTTTCGGAAAAAAGATGTCGTAGTGGAACTTCTTTTTTTATCTTTGGAACAAGGAGAGGAAATAAAGGTCATTCGAAAATTGTAATGCATGTGGTTATATAATATTTAAATAAATTTAACTAACATTTGTTTTTAGGTACGTTCTGTTCAAAAACACAATTCCTTTCTGACCCCAATAATACAAGCACCCATTAAAAATCTTTTACTCTTTACAATCTGAGAACAGAGATTTTTTATACAGCAAAATAGTCTTCAGAAAGAAAACTAATAAAATATAAATGTTCCTTGTTTTGCTAAATTTAAACAAACTATTATGAAAAAGTAAGTAGCATATGAACAAAAAAACTCGTAGATTCTGACAAGGATTGAACTTGTATCCTTTATCTTGGCAACTCATCTTTCCTGGGTGAAAACATTACATTCTTGCCTATTCTGAACACAATTATTTTGTGGTCAACTACGAAATGTTGTTCGCCTCTCACTAATCTGCCGCTATTTCCATGGCAAATGTTCAAACGAGCTACATTCCTTAGTTCCACAATTTTAAGACTTTCACCCGTCCTGGTTATGACGATAAACTACATCCAACAGCAAGGCCTCTGCTCAGGAGGTTTTGAGGAGCGTAGAATCAACTCTTAATTTTTGTTGTCCCCGGTCCATCCATACTCGCAATACATTATTACCAGCAATACATTTTGAAAAAAATATTACCAGTAATAAATATGTTATTGGCATTAAATAACCCATTGAGGTTGATATGCCGTAAAACAAAACAGTCCAAACGAAACCAGACCTTCACAGTTAAGGTCCTCTCCATTCTAACGCTATTTCCATTGCAAATGTTCAGACGAGTTACATTCGTTAGTTCCACCAGTTCAGACCTTCACAGCTACGACTCGTTATACTATGTTCACTGTCGTCAAATCACTCACGTTCGTATTCCTTTGCTAAGGAGGATGGCCCAATCAGGTAACTATTTTCCCATAATTTTGCGGAACGAACTCCCGAGAGGATGCTTTCATAACTACTACAGTATAACATTTTAGTCTAGGATCAACAGATATTTATCCTACATATCCTCTTAATATGTACTTATTACTTCATTCACACCCTCCCTTGTAACGGCGTAATCGTACTCAGTAATCTTCTAGCTTGAATGGCTCTTGGGACTTCTACTGGGTGAACTGAAAAAATATTGAAAAAATTGAAAAGTCTCCACAGACATCGCCGACGAGTATGTAAGGACTACATTTTTGGCAGAGTGTTCAAACGTGGGACTCACTTCTCACATTGATTGAGAATAATTGATAAAGTATTGAAGTGAAATAAAGAGTTAAATATGGACATTTCAAGTCTGGCGTTGTTTATTGGTCCAGAGTTTGTCAGTATTTTTGCTTCATTATGTATCATATTTAGAAAAGCTTTAGTAAATTTCTATATCAATTCCCATTTATATAAACAAGTATAATTTAACTCGTCAAACAATGCATTTGTTTTATTTGCCATTTTCTGCGTCATGTGAATATTGAATATTTTAACATTAAAGGATCAACGACTCATTTGTATGTCATGAATGTAAGTGAGGTTTGCTTAACCGAATAGAATGGCGTCAACATTCATTCCATTGTTCTATCGTAGAGTTGAACGTACAAATCCAATTGTGCGGATTTATTCCCTAAATGCCAACACAAAATGAAGGCGAAAAAGAAGAAAATGGTATAAACACGTTCTGCAAAGGCTGACTTCGTAAAGATGAAATTATGTTTGACCTTTAATGTTAAACTAAGTCATGTCGTTTCCCGCCAGAGTGCATCGAACGAAAAAAGCAAATGACGGTTTGGCCGGAAGTAAGGCTGTAGTAGAAATAGTATACTGCTCGTCATGGTGTCATTTGTATATTCAGATTCTTCTTTCTTATTGACACAGAATCTACCAGAAAGATATATACACACATATAAATGAATAAAGACATAGCATTAGAATAAAAGTAAATAATTAGCCTTTTTTTTGCATGCGTTTATACACCAATTCTTTCTATTGAGTCGTATATTTACAAACCATTTTAAAGCTCTGCATCTTTTATGTTTGAATTGTTTTATTGCTTTTAATTTTTTATAGAGTATCGGAACAAATATAGATAAGCACTGTCATGCCGTTATGTTGCATGAGTTCAAACTCAGCATTTGTACTGCCGAACTTCCTCTTGGGGATTGAAGTCAGCTCCAGAAAGAACTGTGTATTGTTCGTCTCAAAAATTGCTTCTGGATTTCCAAAGTAATTCTGACCTTGGTCGCAAGTCATCCTTTCATTCGATTATAAAAATTGTGTCCGACGACAGAGATTCGTTAAGAAACAAAAACTTAGACATTCAGAGATAAGCTGGGGTCGACCATAGAACCCTCAAAAGACATCTGGGTACAAACTGGGGCTAAATGAAGAAAATTCAGAAATTATTACCAATTGATTTGACTGAAAATAAAATCAGCTATTTGTACGGTTTGTAATTTTCTTTTTCTTGTTCGTTTCAAAAACAATCTTTTTTCTTGACCGTACGCTTATTTTTGATGAAAAGTGGTTTCACTATGAGAATTGGAAACGTGGTTTTCTTTTTGGCCAACAAACCTGCTTTCCTCTCATACTTTCGAGAAACATATCTCTAATTTTAACAACAAAAAAAAACTTACTGTCTGATTCGTGATGATGCAGAACATTCCATTAAAGTCGCATACAAAGAAGTCAACTCATCTTTGCAGAACCCTATTTTCATGATTTAAAATTGGGGCATCAGTATTTTGGCTAGCAACAGGGAAGAATGCACGAGCTACTCCGCTGCAGGATATGGAAATACCCCATGCTTCATGAACCAACCGACAAAAACTGATGCACTCATTGATATCCTGCCACCCCGTCTCTATTCACAGTACTTCTTTCCTACCAACTACAAAGTTATTTTATTCTAGCCTAAATGAATGCACACAGACACACACACAGGCACACACAGACACACACACAGACACACACACACCCGCACGCGCACACACACACAAATTGTTTAAAATTTACTATATTTATGGGAGAAGAATACCCGGTATCAGAAAATGCTTATATAGAGAGAGATTCTGCGGACATAAGGAATCAACACCGCATGGTAATTATCGGTTTCGCTCTCCATGCGATCTCTCTCTCTCTCTCTCTCTCTCTCTCTCTCCTCTCTCTCTGTTTTTATATATATATATATATATATATATATAAAGAGAGAGAGAGAGGGCGCGATGGATAAACTGTTGTCTAAATTACGCAAAAATCAAAATAACACTGACAACTCATTTTAACAGATATATTTATTAAAATTTCAAAATAAATATCTTAAAATACTAGAGTAAATTTATTCAATAAAATCGCGAATGGCTTCAACTACAGCACACAGACAACTTCGGAATCTCCTGCAACTCTTCTGGGCGATCCCCTTGCTTATGTTGGTGAGTTCTACCATAATCGTTGCCTTCAGTTCATCTTTCGTGCTACAAGGAGTTTTACTGGTCTCTCTTTTAACTGCACATAATAATCAAGGGTTTGCAGTCTGGGGAGTAAGGTCGCCAGATGGGTGATGTGGTCGCAGAAATTGTCTGACAGCCATGACTAGATTCTCCTGATTGTGTGAGATTATGCCGTCCTGTTGCTAGATATAGGGCTTTCCAGCAGCCACGCTCTTGACCCAGAGCAGCACAACCCCCTCAAAGCACTTGATATTGGCCTCCAATTTGAGTCTGAGGCTCTGGGTGAAGATGAATGGAGGAATAACGTTGCCATCACTAGTGATAAATCCAAACACCATGATTTGATTTTTATCACTCTTGGTACATCTTTTGAGGACACAGCAAGCCAACGGTTGTTCCATGGGTTCACCATCTTATCCTATCAGAAGTTTTTCTCGTCTGAGAAAAACTAAAGCATATTCGGTTGGAGG